GAGAGGGAAGGAGGAAGAAGGAAGGGAGGGAGGAAAGGGAGGAGATGAGGAGAAAGGGAGGAAAGAAGGAAGGAGAGAAAGAAAGATGGGGAGGGAGGAAAGAGGAATGGAGGGAAATCAGAGGGAGGGGAAGGGAGGAAGGGAGGAGATGGGGTGGGAAGGAAGACAGGGAGGAAGGAAAGCGAGGAGATGGGGAGAGGGAGGAGAGAAGGAGAGAGAAATAATGGAGGAAGGAAGGAAGGAGGAAGGAGTTGGGGAGGGAGGGAGGAAAGAAGGAGGGACAGCAATAAGGAAGGAGGGAGGAAGGGAAAAGGAAAGAAGGAGATGGGGAGGGAGGAAGGGAGGGAGAAGGAAGAAAAGGTGGAAGGAAGGAAAAGAGGGAGGAAAGAAGAAAGGAAGCTGGCCCGAGCGTTTCGCTGCCATCCCCCTCAAAGGAAAGGAAACAGCCAGGAAAAGCCCCAGTTTTTGGCCAAGTGCTCCTTGTCAGCCTTGAACATCTCCTCCATGTAGCACGGCGCGGCGCGGTTCTTCTCCACCAGCGCGTCAATCATGGCCATCAGCTGGCCCACCTGAGCTTCGTACTCCACGCCTCCAGCCTTGTTCTCAAATGCCAGGAAGCGGTTGCCGCACTGGTACACCTGCTCCTTCAGGCTTGCATAGCCTTCGGCGATGAATTTCTCCACGGTTTTGCCCTCCAGGTCTGCCTTGCAGGTGAAGAGGATGATCACGTAATCCTTGGCCTTCAAGCTGAAGATCTCCTTCATCAAGCGCGCCACGTCCTTCTCCTCCTGGGTGAACCAGCCCAGGCGCATCACCTGCAGGATGACGTGGGGGCCCGGGGGGCAAAACTTGATGCACTTCCTCACTTCAGCCAAGGTTTTCCGCTCGGGACGAGCCGTGTCGAGGAAGTCCGACGTGTCCACCACCACCACTTTCCGGCCGTTCAGCAGGGCCTCCTCCCGTTGGAAAGTCTTGGTGACGCAGACGGGCGACATCTTGGATTTGAAGACCGGGCTTCCCAGGATGGTGTTGCCCACCGCGCTTTTCCCCACGCCGCTTTTGCCCACCAGGACGATCCGCCGTTCGGGCCCTACAAACCCAAAGCGGGAAGAGGAGAGAGAAGAAGGGGGACCGGTCAGGAGCACTGGAGATGACCGGGGTCAAAGGCGTCATCAGTGAAGAATCCCTGTGTGCTCACAAGCGACCTCAATCCAGCCCACCTTGACTGCCTTTCTTATCTCCCGCTCATTTCCCCCGTGACCATTAGTAGGTCAGATTCTTGTAGGGAGCTTAAGCTTTCAATCAATCTTGATACTCATTTGAACTGCCTAAATCTCCTGATTTTCCTGCCACTTTATCTATCTATCTATCTATCTATCTATCTATCTATCTATCTATCTAT